ATGTCTTTCGCTTTGTTCAATGGGATTTCTCATATGCGTGGATTATCAGCCAGACTACTCGTTTCCCAGCTCTCTAAAACTATAGGGATAAGAGTAGCATCTGGTAAAACTAGGTTCAAAGTCCTTGATGGCTCCATTGATAAGAACAGTCCAGCATTTCTTTCAAGACTTCCGGACAGAAAAAAAATGCACAAGTCTTACGAAGAGTTTACTAACTTAGCGGTGCAAGGAGGCGGTGAAAAAGCTATTGAAAGGCACGTCAAACGGAACAAAAAACTCCTAGTTAGAGACAGGCTTAGTAAACTACTAGATGATGGTACAGATTTCCTTGAGTTGTCGCGGTTTGCAGGGTTTGATCTTGAGTATGGTGATGTGCCCAGTGCTGGGGTTGTGACAGGGGTTGGGCAAGTGTCCGGGCAACCGTGTATGATTATAGCAAATGATGCGACTGTTAAAGGTGGAACTGTTTATCCCATAACTGTGATGAAGCAGCTAAGGGCACAGGAGATTGCCGAAGCCAACAAACTTCCTTGTATATTTCTTATAGACTCTGGTGGAGGCTTCCTACCTTTACAGGTAAGGTTACAATAAAAAACGTTCCTAATAAATATTCTTGCGTGTCTATCGAGGCACTGCCCCATCTCACTTAAAGATGACGGAATCTGAATCCTCAAATTTTTGTTTGGCCCGCTTTTGAAAATGAAATCCAAAAGGTTCCTTTTTGCTTGAAAGATTTGTCCAAAGGGTCGAAATTTTGTTGGCCTGTTTGAAGAAAAAATCAAAACTTCAGCTGTTCAAAAACCTGTCTACCTTAGAGGAGGGGGGTGGGGGGTGTATGGGGGGCTGGATAAAAAAAGGAACATCCCCTTGCCAAGAACAAAACAAATTTTATTTCCTTACTTGAAAATTGCCGCATCTAAAGTTTGAACAGAATTTTTAGGGGAAATATTAGTTTGTATTCACAAATCATAGTCCCAGTTAAAGAAATTTCTCAGTGACTCTCTCTCCAGTCCCAGGGAAAGAGATCCCATTCCTCCTTAGTTGCTTAGTGTTGCAGATAGGTAAAGTCACTAAATAGCATAATACAAAAGATCAACAAGGCGGTGAACAATACCGACACACCACCAAAGAACAGCTAACCAACAATAGTTTCCACAACACCTAGAAACACCCCATTTTTTCAGTCCAAAATACAGTCCCAGTTTTCACAAAAATAAAAGCTGTATTATAGTATACATGTAGAATATCTCTCACAGCAGATCAGCCAGCAGATTGCATTAACTAACTTAACTGAATGAATCTGTCTTAAAACAGGCTGATCTTTTCCCGGAAACTGGTGGACGAACATTTTTCAATCAGGCTGTGATGTCAATGAGAGGAATTCCAATTGTACGTGAGGTTATATTTTTTAGTACCAGTAAATCAATACAGTTTGTTAAAAGGGCTCTGGTTTTTCACTACGTTTCTTAGCCTTTTCGGGATCTCCTCTTTTTCAGTGCTTCCGATTGGTTAAAAATTTGCTTTAGCAAATTGGAAGCACAACCCAGATCTTTGTAGTGATGAGTCATCAGTATGGAATTTTTGTACTCATTCCACAGATGTCATTTTGTGGGGAAATCAATGGTACAATTGTGAAATATTGGCTGATTTCTCAGGCTAAATAAATATCTGTTTTGAGACCAGCACAATTTTGGCTTAAGAATGCTTTTCACCAACAGTTTAGCAGAAATGCCAGTCATGAATTTTTAGCATGAATCTGGTGAGATACCATCCAGATTTTTGTCTTTTTTGCAAACGGGACCATTAAACCACCTACATCTTATATTGAATTTTCCTTGTTTACGCAGATTTGTCTTGTATGTGGATCATGTACGGCAGGTGCAGCTTATGTACCCACAATGGCTGATGAAGCTGTTATTGTTGATAAGATTGGAACAATATTTCTTGGTGGTCCACCTCTAGTTAAGGTAATAATCATTATAATAATAATGTTAATAATAAAGATAATAATAATAATAATTATTATTAATTAAGTGTCGTATTTAACTGCAAGGCATCTGACTGTCTTGTTTTACCTTACATGTATTGCCATTTCAGTTTCTGAATTGGAAGAAATATTTTTAGAACTCTGTACTTGTTTACTCATGTTTAAAGTCCTTACAGCTGTAGGAAGAGAGAGCCTTCCTACAATGGTGTACCAAAATTGAATGTATCAAAAATAATTCTAAACTAAGAATGTTGCGTTTATATGAAATATTTTTTTCTTTTACAATGGTTCTTCTAATTTGGAATTTTTAGGTTATAAGCACTTTAACAATCTTTTTACATTTCCCCCTTTTACAATAGTATAAGGGTTAATAGTTCTTGTTGATTTTCATCCAGGCAGCCACTGGTGAAGTTGTTTCTGCAGAGGAACTTGGTGGTGCCATGATGCATTCTAGGTTAGTAAACAAAAACTTAATGTTGGGCTGTAACTATTTTTTCATTGACAAGCAAAAGCAGTAAGAAAAAGTATACAGCTCTCGGATATATATTTTTTTTCACTTGAAACTACCCAGGTTTTATGCTGCTCAGCAAAATGGGGGAAGACTTGCTCCTGGCTCTAAGCTCAACTAAGCTCAATTTTCAAAGTGAATTCAGCAAAAGCTCAAACCCCTAGTCATTGTTTATTTTTGAAGGGACTGAACTGTATTGCTTCCCTTGCATTTCTTCTAATGTTGCAATTGCCTTCACATTTAGGGTTTTTACATATTTTTTTATAATGTAATATACAATCTTTTTGAGATGTTTGTCAAGTAGGTGATTATATTGTGATCTTGATGGGATGATTTTATTGTGATCCTGTATTAATAATCCTTGTGCATATGTAGTGTTAGTGGCTGTACAGATCATTTTGCAGTGGATGAAGAAGAAGCACTGGAGACTACAAGAAATATCATTGCTACTTTAAATTGGGATCAGTCTATAATGCCATCAGGTACATAAAGTTAGCCTCTTGAGGTAATGTTACACAGGATCATTTGTAACAAGGATTTTTAGCTCAGTCAACACAGTGTTGTAATTTTGGAACAGTGTTGCAACCAGTAAATGTCACGGCAATGTTGCAAAACTTTGTTTTGCTATAAATTGTTGTTGCAAATCATAACATTTAGTCTTTCAGACAATCAGTGAGTAATTGGTTGATCAGTCAGTCAGCAAGTTGAATTATGGTGATTGGTCAGCAGGTCACTTGGCCAGTCATTCATTCATTCATTGATTCAGTTTGTCTGTCAGTTGTCAGTCTAATTGGTACAATTTGTTAATTGGTCTGTTAATAAGTCTGTCAGTCTGTCAGTGAGTTGTTTTATTGAGTTCAGTCAGTCATTTTCAATTAGAACATGTTAGTTAGTTGTCGAGGTGTGAGTGGCTGAGCGGTTAACACCTCGAACTCCGGATCTGGAGGTCCGGGATTCAAGCCTTGCCCGTCGCGTTATTTCCATAGACAAGGAACTTTACTCCACTTTGTCTCTCTTCACCCAGGTGTATAAATGGGTACTGGCGACATACTGCTAGGGGGTAACCCTGCCATGGACTAGCATCCCGTCCAGGGGGGAGTAGCAATACTCTAAGGTCCTTCATGCTAATAAAACCGCGATAAGCTCCAGCCGTTTGGGCCTTTGGCTCTTGCGTGCCTTTACCTTTTTATGTTAGTTAGTTGCTCTGTCAGTCAAATCAGTCACTCTATTGTCTTGTTAAAGTCAAATCAGAAGTCAAGTCAGTCATTCGTTTAGTAAGGCAAGTATTCCAGTCATTATTTTGGTCAAGGCATTTACATGTGCATGTAGTAACCTAATCAAGCCTAAGTACAAGTTAGTTAAGTCAGTTAGAGATTCAACTTAGTTATCTTGATGCTTACTTGCTGTCCTTTTTCAGATGTATGTGCTCCTTTGTATGACTTAGAAGATCTCTCAGTTTTGGCCCTGTATGAAAGCTCGGAATTTCCAATATATCAGGTAAGCGTGTCAGTCAATTCTTTTAATCCTGAGAGTTGCAAAAGTAAAAATTCAAGAAACATGAAGATAAGTGGTTTCATTTGAATGGTAATACAATATAGGATAGTGACCACATACTCAAACATTCATACAACCACATGAATGAAAGGGTTTAATTCGAACGGTCACGGTCTTTTCGCTACAAAGTCGTTTCGCTGTAAGTCTTTTCGCTTCATCATAAAGTCGATTCGCTGCAACCAACTTTTTGTATTAAACAGTTTAAAACAATTTAGAATGAGCTACAAACGGTAATGACGAGTTAACTTAGCGAAACGACTTTACATCTTTGCAGCGAATCGACTTCACTGCGCAGCTAAACGACTTGTAGAGAAACGACTTTGTATTGAAACGAAACGACCATACTCTCACCATAGTATTTCGCCCATAGGCTTAAAATTAAGGACGACATATTTAGTCAAAACAAATAGTACCATGTGAAATGACTTCTGAAGAGGTTTCATTTTAATGATCACACCGTACTCTTTTGTTCACAGACTCAAAAAGTTGAGAGCAATATAGAAAACAAATAGCTGAAATAGTCCCTTGTGAAAATACTGCTGAAGAGGTTTCATTAGGATTAATCTTAACGTAATACTAAAGGGAGGATTTTGTGCACAGACTCAAAAGTTAATAACACATTGCATATGTTGTCCTTGAGAAAATCTGTGAATGGAACAGGTTGTAACAGGGACAGTTGATTTCAGTATATAGTGCGTGTATGTGGAAACAAGACCTAGTTGAGCTGAAACGTCTGTGTGGGTTAAAGAAACCCTGGGGCAAATATTTTGAAAAGCTCCCGAGAATTTGGCTGAAAGACGTCCGTATGCTTCACTTGCTATACTCTTAATTTACATGTGTCCTGGACTTTAATGCCGGGGTAATTTCCATGAGAGAAATATCATAATTACAGGCTTTTATGGGAACTGTTTTCGTAACTGGTCAGAGTAAAAAATAGAATTTACTTTTCACTTGCCGTGGTCAATTATTGACGCATGGGAAGCTGTTTAAGCGAGCTTTGCATCAATGCAAGCTATTTTCTTTGAATAAAGCCGCTCTCTCGAAGAAATTTTACACGACAACTAATAACTGAACATGCATGCCGTTCCTACCTTTGGAGGCCGGTCACAGCCAAAATATACACGTTCTGTACTGCCCACAGATATTTGAAGAAAAAACCTCATGGCCCAAAAATAGTGTGGCATGGCTCAAGCAAGCACGAAGGCGGTTCGGCCAGGAAAACGTCAAACAAGCAGTAGATTGATTTGCAAAACAGCAACTCTGCACGTGCAGCACGCCTTTTTGGTACTTTTCTTTATCGTCACGGCACGGGCGCAACGTGAAATTTCCTAAATTCACGTTGTATGAATTTGTTGTATGGTGGACGCAACTACAAGGCGCAGATTTTCTCTTTCTTTTCCTAAACTTTCTTACGGCCCGTGAAGATTCAACTTCTGGCCAATAGGCCTACATTTGGAAAGACAGCGGTGAAACGGTTTGTAAAAGTTTAAAACAGCGCGAACTCACTGTCTAGTAACCTCTGTCCCTAGTATTTTACGATGTGCAACTGGGAAAGCAACACGAACGTTAAGAGAGGAAAAGGTTTGCAAAAGTATGACCATGCTTTCTTTGCTGTCACTGCACGACTACGGAAGCTTACAGAGTATGGAGTAGACAAAAGTAGCCATATTTTTGTTGCTGTTTTTTTTTTTAGAAAAAATTGTTTTGGAAGGGCTTTCTGGTGAAAAGAGGTTTGAAGCTCTTTAACCGGTAGTAATAATAATTAGTAGGCAAATACCAGTTAGTTCACCTTTTCTACCCTAATTTCTTTCCTTTTCATATCGACTCCAGCACCCCCCGCCACAAAAAAACAAAAAAAAACAAAACAAAAACAAAAACAGAATTCTTTGCAGCGAATCGACTTCATTTTTTAGCGAAACGACTTGTAGCGAAACAACTTTCTTGCGAAACGACCGGTAAGCCTCCCTTAAATGAAGCAATTTTTGCCAAAGGAGCATGGAAAGGCTCGCTAGTTTGTTCGTTGTTTTAGAAGTTTTGTTTCATGTGGTATGTAAGGAACGCATCTTATGACTTTTGTTAATTTTATAGGTGTTAGCACGTTTAGTGGATGGCAGTCAGTTTCAAGAATTTAAGACTCAGTTTGGATCAACACTTATAACAGGATTTGCGCATATATATGGGTACGTTTTGGACCAAGATAACCTGGGAATACAACCTTCTCTGCTGGCAAAAACTAAGCGAGGAGAAATGGCTGTATTCACAGGCTATTGCCAGGGAAGCTCAATGAATATAACCGGTTTCCACAATAACATCTCGATCACTTGAGATGTCTCAAGATTGACGATCCAGGTGATCGGGACGATCACAATCTGGAGACACCCATGATGCAAGTGGGTGTTAACTCCATTCGCTATTCATTCAGAATATTTCGCCGTTTCTTATTGGCTTACTTCCCTCGGCCTTTTCTTCATAACCAGCTGGCGCTGATCGAATCAGGAAGTTTTGAGCAATATACCATCGATATTCATTTGGCTTTGGTTGGATACCTTTGTTGTAACACCAACTTATAAACAGTTGTAGCGTCGGGTTGTTTAACAAATAAAAAAACCTTGTCTGTGCTCTGTTTTGTCGTAAAGCAGCAAGAAGCAGCTAGAGCCCAAACGAAGTGTACGGGAAACACGAGACGTTGTCGAGTGTTTCCACCTTCTTCTTGAGTGCTCTAGCTGCTTCCTAAGTGCTTTACAATAGAATAATAAATAAAGAATCCATTAAATTCTCCGCGCATTACTTTCCAATTTTTAAAACAAATTATTAGCAGATGGCGTGGCAGCTCTAGCGCCGTGATCTGTACTCTCATGAAACACGCTTTTTCAGCCAATCAGAGTGCGCGTTACATCTGAAATTTATAGGTAAGATACTATTAGCACGGGCAATTATTGTTAAGGGTACCTTGGCGTTACTTCTGAATTGCATGATTTGTTCTTTACTTTAGTTATTTGGTGGGAATTGTCGCTAACAATGGTGCATTGACTTCGGAAGCTTCCTTAAAGGTAAGGAATTGTGGCCTTCCTTCCGATTACGTGACACCTTTTTTTTATGCTTTCATTGAAAAGTAGAAATGTGATGATGTTGTCGTGTTAGTTCAACATGGCCGTTGTAAATTCAGAGGTTCGAAGTTTTTTGCGTTTTCACTCACGTAGCCACCAGCTTTGTAAATTTGTTTGAGCAAAATAATAGCGGAGCTCCACCCGCGCGCGAAGCGCGCGCGTGGGCGGAGCCCCATAGCTAAGGAAATGTGGTAATCTACCCATCCCAGAAAATTTGGTAATCACGTGACCGTACACCGAGCGAGCGATCGAGTGAGCGACCGTCCGTCCGCACCACAGGCATACCAATGTAAAATAACTCAATCAACAGGTATGGGAAGCCAAATGCAACTCAAGGATTTATTTGGAAGGAAATCACATGGTCGCCCGGACTTTTAGAAAGAAAAAGGTCGTGTCTTTTTCGGCGTTATTTTTTATGTGTACACTAACGTGGATAACAGAGAAAGAGCTAGAGCGAGTTATTGAAAATTCGTAGGAAGAAAAACATGGAAATTCAAGCAAAACTGTTAGGCTGAACAGTTTTCAAAAACCCTAATTTCAATCCGTTTCAATCTTCTTCATTTTTGCCCATCCGTGGCATCTGTTGTTTCTGTTATGTTGCTTTAACCTTCCTTTAAAGTTTTAAGCGGTCATTTTTATGTTTCTCTTAATTTAACGGGCATTTTGTAATTTCCTAATTTGGCTGAATTTCGTGACACAGCTCCTTTAACAGGCGAGCTACAAAGAGGATTCAAATGGAAAATGTGTGCAGCATCTAAGACTTGTTTACTGATAGCTGAAGCTGACAGAGTTTTGTGTCATCTTGTGACGTTTTTACCTGCTGTCTTTTTGCACTGGCTCTACAAAATGAAATACAGCTGCTATCAACATTCCGCAACACAGGCATACCAATGTAATCTAACTCAATCAACAGGTATGGTAACGCAAATGCAACTCAAGGCTTTATTTGGAAGGAAATCACATGGCCGCCCGGACTCTTAGAAAGAAAAAACAACAACAAAGTCGTGTCTTTTTCGGCGTTATTTTTTATGTTTACACTAACGTGGATAACAGAGAAAGAGCTAGAGCGAGTTATTGAAATTTAAGGAGACGAATTTCGTAGGAAGAAAAACATGGAAATTCAAAGCGGCGGTGAGAAAATGAGAACTGCTAGTGGCCAGCAAGGTGAAAATGAGCGGCAGTGAAAAATAAAAGCGAACATGAACACTGGAAACAAAATATTGGGTAAGCACATACGACAATTCCTCCATAAAAATAATGTGTAACTAGGAAGTTTGACGTTTCTGTCGTACAAAACAGCGTTGTAGTAGTGCAAACCAGCGGCAAGGCAAAGACAAAAAAGCGTGCTGCACGTGCAAATTTGTTTTTTGCTAATTAGAAGAAAAAGTGTGCTGCATGTGCAATTTGTTTTTTTGCTAATTAGATCTATTAGTCTTGAAGCCATTTTCATTGTCGTCCCCCATTTAGCATAACAAGATTTATTTTTTTTTAGTTTACACGTATTATTAACCAGAGCTTCGCTTTTAGCCCTGGCTAAATCTATATATTACTGATATATCCAGAGAGAAAAGCTTCAAGGAACATCAACATGGTAGTCTTCTACACAGCCGTTTTAGAGTCGTCACGTAACGCTCCTCCCCAATAGAAAAATTTGTGGGGAGGAGCGTTACGTGACGACACTGAAAACGGCTGTGTAGCAGACTATCAACATGGCCGCTGTTTCATTGTTTTAGAACACTAAAATGGTGACGTGACGTTACGTTACACTCTATACATTCAACTTACATTGAATTTTTTTGGCCAAAGACAACTAAGTTCTTACTCGTGTGTCTTTCGACAAAATCTTGTGGTGTGACCATCCAAATTAAACGTCATTAATAGCCTTTTCAAATGGTATTGTTCGTGTTTTAAAAAACGAATTGATTGGGGATCGCTGTTGAACTGTGTATTTTGATACACCGTGAAAGCGGTGTGTACCAAAAGATTCCAGTTATCGCAGTGAACAGGTTTAAAGTTACATGTATGAATTTGTTAAAAATTGTGTGAAGTTTAAAAGTTTGACTCGTCATTTCAAGATGTTTTGTTCCATTGTCACATTCAAAGTAAGATGAATTTTGTTAAAACAGAAAAGTATATTAATTTTTAAGAGAGTAAATAAAACGGAAATACACCTAATAAGTCAAAACTTTATTATTGTCCTCTGTAAATTGTATTTTAAATTGCGATTAAGCCAGCTAATCATATCAAGCAGAAGACTATTAGAGGGTTGCAATAATTATTATAAGCCCCTGGTGTTTTGTTACCACTTAGTACGACAGCTGTAAAGAGCAATCAACCAAGAGAGGCAGAAGGTTATGATAAATTTGTTCAGTTGTGAACATCAACGTTTTCGATTAGCGCAAAGTCGTGGAGGTCAAGAAACTCTTGTAGGTAAAGATGAACACGAGTGCATTAGAGAACGCAACGCGAGGTGATTCGCAATTTTCTTGTTCTCTCTTGGAGAGATTTCTTAAGGAGTCTCGAGGAACCATGGATAAAGTCTACCTTATAAACTCTGTAATTAACGGTGTTTTCTCTTGCGTAGCAATCCTGACAAATACGCTGATAATGGCGACAATTCTGCTAAGGCCACGTCTCCGTTCTCCCACATTTTTTCTCCTTTTCGGTTTGGCTGTATCAGACTTCGGAGTAGGACTGTTAGCGCAACCTTTGTACGTCGTTTACAAGATAGCTGGTATTGTTGAAAACTCCAATCTTAACTGCGCGGCTGGTGTAGCCTTTGTCCTTGCTTCGAATCAGCTATCTGGAGTTTCGTTCTTGACTATGACTTTGCTAAGCGTTGATCGCTATCTAGGTCTTCATCTACATCTTAGATACAACGAACTTGTTACCGTTAACAGAGTCAAGATCGCTGTGGTTTCCACATGGATTTTAAGTGCATCTGGTAACGTTTCATGGCCTCTCAGCTTAAAAGCATACTATATCATATCCGCCACCGGCTTCGTGCTGTTTTTAATCGCCACTCTGTTCGCATATACCAACATATTGTTTACGGTCCGAAGACATCGTCGAAAGATTCAGCAACAAGCCGTTGCAGTTTTGAACCTGACTTCTGCCTCCTCGCAAGATGACACACCACCGAGTCAAGATACCAAAACTCAAGACCAAACGCCGAACAAAGAAAACCAGTTAGATGAAATGATGCCGGGGTACAAAAAATCAGCAAAAAATATGTTTTTGATTTATATTGTCTTCCTTATTTGTGTGTTGCCTTTTACTTGTGTACTTTTGGTTTCGACCTTCGTGGCTCGTAGCACGACTGTAGAAACTGCTTTTAACTTTACCATGTCTTTGGTGTTTATAAACTCGTCAATGAATCCGTTTTTGTACTGTATTTTCATGAGGGATCTTCGAAGAGAAGTGCGGAACATGCTAGTAATTCTATCAGGATATTTTAGTTAGGCCGGGCGTAGATCATGATAATTTAGGGAGCTTAAGCAACAAAGACGAAGACGGCTACGAAAACGTCACTTTAAGAGCGACTTCGCGTTTATTCCATCTCTTTCCTTTTGTCAAATGTTGGCAAATTTTTCTGGAGTTGATTCCTAAAGGACAGTATCAAGTTTCGTGTCTTGTGGCACGTCCTCCACAAGAAGCAGTTGTGTAGGAGCTGCTTGTAAGGTCTCTCCTGATTGGTCGCAGAAAACAATGACCTGTCATTCTTTCAATTGTTTCAGTATTGTTTGGGGTCAGGGTTAGGCACCATTGGTGACTTCTCTTCCGAGCAGCTGCTACACGCTACGGAAGTGAAACTAGGCATTTTCACTTCACAGTCGTGCAACGACGTCAAAGAAATGTTCAAAAAAGGATGATGTACATAAGGCGTGATGCACGTGCAAAGTTGTTGTTTTGGTTATGTAACGTTTTGCTTTTTTGCTGTTCTCGTTGTCGTCGGCGTCCTCGTTAATTCCGGAAAGATCTCGCGGTGTGGTGTTTATGCAAAATGAAAAGCAGCAACAGGCAAAACTTATCAACAAATTTCATATGCAGTTCAAACGTTCTAAGTAACAACTTTGTTGTGGAAAATTAAACTATCGCGTGCTAGAATTTCTTAGTAAGCCTAAATACTGCTAACAGAGCTCCGGTGTGAGATTCTAAAGATGAAATCGCATGCGAAGAGCAAATAGATTTCTGAAACGGGAGGCTTCTGTGTTGATTGCATTTGTGCTCGTGTGCATTGGTTTGAGTACTCTGGACAAATAATTCATAATAAAATACATATTTATATTCCTTCGAAGGAAGTGATAAAACCGCATCATTTATATACAACATACAACATGGGCTGTTGAGGTTCCTCGTTTAACTTGCTGTTCGTGTTTAGTACAATCCTCTTTTATCTGGGGACTTACTTATTTTTTTTTAAAATAAGATAACATTTCCAGTTGACCTTTCGCAGCAGTGGCACTAGTCTTAGCCTAGCGAGCTTGTTTTTAAGTTTTCTTTTTCGGGGCGTGGAGGGGTTATTAGGATCCTTACTATCTTGAAGCAAAAACTAGTAGTTTTTATTGTAGTGGACCAGTTTCTTTTTTTTCTGTTTACTTAACGCTGCAAAATAATTTTTTCTTTATATCGGGGACGAACGCTACAACTCGTATTTAAAATACAGAGTTTTATGCTGAGTCGAAACGGATCAAACAAGGCCTCATAAAGGCCTTACCTTGAAGGCGCGAAGATATGTATTAAAGGTTGATGGAAAATGCAAATATATACATGTATATTTGAAGTTTAAAATTAGCATGTGAACTAGTATATATCCAGAGGCTAGCTTTTTATTGTCAGCCGCTTTTAATTGCCAGAATTTTGCATTATTGAAGGCTAAATTGTTATTAGCTAAGGTGTTTTTTTAAATTTTCAATTATAAGTTGGTAGATCTTATCCTATCTAGAGAAAGTGAAATTTAAATAAACATACATTGTGTGTGTTATTTGACACTTTTAATCATGGACTGCCTTAAAATGACATAATCAAGTGTCGCAAATGTCTCCTATAACAGCTGAGTACATTTTTAAGTTAAAAAAAGTGTTATCGGCTTCGCCTTTGACAAAGGAAAACTTTCCGTTTTGCTATATTGACCCTCAACTTCCCTCACCCCTAGAAATTCTTTCCTGCCTTTTAAGTTGTTCCAAGGAACCCTTTTAAAAAACGGAGTGCCTAAGGACTAGGGACCTTAGGATACTACGACGGTTACAGCGGAGGGAACGATCAGAACACAATAGATTTGGGAAGCAAAACAACAATAGCCTCCATTCGATATTTTATCATTCTAACTTGAATTCGACGTTTTAGGGTCAAAATAGGCCACTTCCAAGTTCCAAAAACCCTCTCTTTCAAAATGAGGCTAGGTGCACAACCTTTCTTGTGAAAATGAGTTTTATTTACATGAGAATGAAAAATCATTTCCATATCAAAGGCCGAGCACTCAACCTCGTTTTGAAACAGAGGCCCGGGGAAACTCGGAAATGGCCTATTACAATGATTCCACTGTCTCGCAATTCCCAGAAGAGACTTGAGCACAATGAAAACCCAACCAAATATAGAAAAATGACCAGAAAGCCTCGGAGACATGTTAGAATTTTAATATATCGAACGCGGGTTATTATTCGCGTGCATCACGCTTTTTTGTAAATTTTTCTGCAACGTTTTCATTAGCGTCACCGTTGTCGGCTCGTAAGGTCCCTAATATGTTCGTCATATTCTCCTCTAATTCTCTATTTTCCAATTGCCCATAATACACTCTGTTTGCCCCCCAAATTCTGCATAAACCATTGTTTTTAAATGCTCCTGGGAGTATTGCATTTTCCCAAGAGCATTTTAAGACAATAAGTTATGCAAAATTTGGGGGGCAAACAGAGTGTATTATGGGCAATTGGAAAATAGTCAATGGCTCTTTGAAACGAAAACCGAGATAAGTCCTGGCCAGCTGGACACCCCGTCGGCTGAAGCACACTTTTACCTTACTATATCTGTTATGATTCTCTTCTCTTTTAAAATAACAACTTAACCCTCTAGAGTTACTAAAATATAGTGTTTTTATATCTCTTAAAGGGAGCTCATTTTGTGGAGTTGTGTTGTCAGCGAAATATTCCACTTGTATTCCTTCAAAACATTGTACCCCAGTCTTCGGCTGACTTAACAGTAGAGAAACGCGCCTCCTTGATTAAAGATCAAGCAAAGATGATGTCAGCGGTCGCCTGCGCCCAGGTATTTGTACTATATATAAGATAATGCCAGAACCTCGAAAACAAAAATAATCACTGGGCGCGTAGCGTGAGGTTATTATTTTTAATAAGGCCGAGGAGCGAGGGCATTATCCAATTCAATGCACCTTTCCGTTGTTTAAGAACCAGTAGTTTATTATTGTGGGCACTAAAAGTGGAACAGTAGGTTATTATTCGTAATGATGACCTCCTCTTGCACCTCAGTGAGCTGCCCTTTCATTGATTGAAAATGATAGCCTGTTGAAAACAGTGGAGAGGTGCATTAATTCGGCAGAAACTGCGTCGACAACTCTTCTCTTGCGTAAGGTCCCAACTAGCGAATTGACCTGTCTTCAAATAAACGGATTCGTGAACTCCGACCTCTTAACTTCTCCTTTACTGTTTTATATTCAGCCGCTTTGAATTGCAGTTTGAGAGTTACTCATTAGGTACTACTTTACTTGTGTTTTCTTCTGCAATTTGTAGGTAATTTTCGACGCCATTTAAGCACGACTTAAGTCGTGCTTAAATGGCGTCGCACGTTTTTCAGAAGCTTTTCCAAGTGGATTTTTCCATTTTGTTTTCTTTGCTTCAGTTCTTAATAACTACTTCTCCCTTTTTCAATTGTTTATTGAACTTTCTTTGCACGGTTTCCTGTTGAGTTGCTCTTTTAATAAGCAGTGAGGGTTAACTTTTTCTTTTTATATTTTAATTTTTCCTTGTCTATAGGTTCCAAAGATTTGTGTGATTATGAAAGGCAGCTATGGACCGAATAATTATGCGATGGTAAGACTAAGGAAAAGCGTTTAGCAATAGTGTCTTGTTTCTTCCTGGAGTGTCTGAATAGGGTTTGGTGCCCTAGCCTTTGAGTGAACGTAAGGCTGAGGGTGACCTTGTTTTGATACAGACTTCCTTCCTTTTCTGATGTAAATTTCGCTTGAAAAATACTATTTAGAATAACAAAAACATGATTTACATAATAAAGCAAGCAGGGTTGTATCAAAACAAGGTCAACTCTAGCCTTGTTTCCAAGGGCCTGGTTACATGGAGGTGGGGGACCCCAGGTAGGTGAGGTAACCCGCCTGTCCATATAATCTCTCCTTTTAATTTGACCTCGTTTACATGATAGTTGGGGTGACCCGCCACATGTTACCTCACCTATCTGGGGTACCCCACCTCCATGTAAACAGGCCCCAACTGTAACTGTAAAATGAGCTATTCGTGCAACGGTCACTTAATTATAAAATGTTCTCTTGGAAGCATGTTCTGTTTCGATAGAGATATTTATATTGCTTAAAAGCAAAGCACAGAAAAATTACGACTAAACAATCAACTAAATTTTGAAATCTTGTATCAGTAAAAAAAGATAGAATTTAAATACAGGGCTACAAGTGTGCCTCTACTCTTAGATAAAATTTAGTCTTGTTAAAATCATTCTTACTTTCAAACGAGGTCAGAAAGGCTAATTATCATACATATAAAAGAATGTATTAATAGCTCGTCACTAAGAAACTGGTCTATAGTGTGTCATTGGATCTCAGTCCGTATTTAGAATTCGGTTTAAGTGAAACAAGATCACTGATATATCGCGGAGCTGCACCATGAATGGCCTTGTACGTGATAAGAATAATATTAAAGTCAATCCTGTGTTTCATGTTTAACCAGTAAAGTTTAGTTAACAAAGAGGTACTATGACAGAATCTGGGAACTATCTGCATTATCACCCAAGACCTTTAACAGACTTGTCCGTCAAATACGGGTTTTAAAGAAAGATACGACCATTTAGACCACCTGTCAGATAAATTAACTTTAAATAAACTTAATCTTTCTTTTCAGTGTGGACGTTCGTTTGAGCCTCGCTTCCTCTTC